AGGAATGGAACCAGGCTTCACGGAGCTCACTGTGCGCCAGGGAAAATACATAACATGCAAATCGCTAGACCAGTACCCAACTCACTGCAATTCAGAGCAGAAGCACAAAATGTACTTCAAAACAAACACATATTAGTGAGGAAATCGTTTTTATAAGGTGAGTATTTTGAAGATATGGGGAGGATTCCTGAGATGGGAAGAGACCTCACTGAGATTAAGATTCTCTCATACTAAATACATTTGGCTTTTTATCAGCTAAGATTGAAAGTGTCTTGAGTGCTTCTTGATCCACTGGATATTTCAGAGGACATGAATGGGAGCCGCACTATGGGTCTCACGTATTATAAACATACCAAGTGGTAACAAGTCTTGTCTGAGCAAGAGTTTTGTCAGCACCTGATCTGTAACATGATTCCTGAGCAGGGGTGGAAGAAATTACATACACGGTTATGCTTATGACACAGCTTTTCCTCCACGTCTAGTCCATCTTCTGGGGAAACTCAATGATACAATTCTCCTTTTAAAACCTTGTCACGGTTCCTTAATGCCTATAGCATAAAGCAAAAGTCCACACATCACCAAAAGCCATTGCAGAGCCTGTCCTGCCCCTTCCCCAGACAGTGCCCCTGGCCCCTGGTCACCCTCCATTCCAATCTTGCCCACCTATGCTGCCCCAAATTGGATGCAGTTTTCACCATGCCAAATCTTTACAAATGCCATTGCCCGTAACCCTTCGGGCACTGGCTATCCTTTCTCAGTTTCAGCAGCACTGGAACATTTCTAAACAGTTGACAGGAGCCGTCTCTTTGCCTGGCTCCCTGCTCTGGGCTCTGCGCCATCACCTCGAGGGCAGGTAACTGGCTTTATTTATCTCTGTACTTCAAGAATCTAGCCCAGTGGTTACCCCTGCAGAGAAGACAGCTAGGAACTGTTAGCTGACTAAAAGGCAGAACAGATGTGAATGAAAGAAAGAAAGGTGAAATCTGTAACAGCCCATGTTTATCTTCCTTTTGTTAAGTACCAGCTTTGGATTTAGTCTTGTCTAACTTCCTTGTCCAATTTCACCTGTGTCCCATTAAGCATAAACCGAAAGGCCGTTTTCTATGCTTGGGAAGGACTCTCGAGAGACAAACTTGGTAAGTTTTTCCCCTTTCATTTAAAAAAAGTATGAAGCCAGTATGACAAAATTTCATTATTTGTTAATTTCAAGTATAGGTATAGTATAAAAATCTCCAGTTAAAAGAAAAAAAAAGAGAGAAATGGAATTTTATACACGCATATGCACACACTCACACATATACTTATTTTTAAGATAGTAGATATTTGAGCATATTCGATTATTAAAAAGAGTCACTGGATGCACTTGGTTTTGGCATATTCTTAAAAAGGGGCTGGGGTAACATCTGCAAGGGGTGATCACTGGCAAAGGAGTTGGGGGGCAGTCTGCTCACTGAAAAATAGTAGGAGTGGATTGTGAACTAAAAATCCAGAAACTTGACAGTAGCAAAAGTACAAAAGGTGGCAAAAAACTTCGGTGGCTGTATGTAGTAGACTACTACTAGATTTATTAAAGGAAACACATTCCTTCCTAGGATATCCTTTGTTTTCAAAATAGATGAACTACATTTCCTATCTTAAACAACTCTCACTAAAATTCCTGAAGTATCTATTTACATCAGAAAAAACTCAAATAATCATTTCTACTTCTCTCGGTTTAGAAAATTACTAAGTTTCTTAATGCATTAATATTACACAACTCGTATTAAAAAAAAGTTTGGCATATTTAGTTGAAAAACTAAGCATAAAAATGTTTTGTTAATCTGAGGTATCTTAATGCATTACTAACAAATATTATTTTAGATAATGTCTAGCCTCAACAAAGTAATCAAGAGATTATACATTAACTATAAATTTCTGTTATTGTAAATGTCTTGAGGGCAAGAACAATATCTTTTCTATCTTTTACAGTCTCTCTGGCACTACCAAGAGTCTACATAATAAATAATACCAGGGAGGACTCTGCGTCTTCATGCATTGATGGTCTATAATGGTCATTTTCAAGGATAATCAAGGAACACAAAAAACAAGATTTAGAAACTCAGTGAATAAGGAAGCATATATTAAAAATGACCTTTCACGTAGTTATTTCTTTTCATATCACAGCAAGGAAGAAGTAAATGCTGTTTCCAACTGACACTGACACCCTGTTAACCTCACTGTTGTTATTCTGGGAGGATCAAGGAAAATGATTCATTATAAAACCTTAAAGACTTCAATAGCACACATTCTCCTGTTATCTTTTTTTTTTTTTTTACAAAGTGCCGAAACTAAGAACTATTTAACCTTTAAATACCTCATACGGTTAACGGCTGTTCCGTGAGGAATGTGACCCAAAAGTTCTATGAAGTAAACAGTAATAGAGCAGAACTCTATTTCCTTTCACCTGAATTTGAGAGTGATAGCTTACTTTTTAATCTGTTACCATAAATACCTTACAACTGCCGAGTTCTTGGGCTTTACTTTCTTATTGTGGGGATAAGATTTTTCTAGAAATTCTCTAATGGAAGAGACCTATGGCTCTTCAATCCACTGCTCCATCCTAAAGAGCTGCAGGAATGGTCAGTCTGAACTGAGAGGCTACAAGGGCAAGGGGCAGGATCAATCCATCAGGCGCAGTCAACTGGTTTCTTTCAAAAGCATTTCTCGTGGCCTAATCCAGGGTGGCAGTGGGAGCCCTGCCCAGGGGCCCATCTTGAGTTCCAGGAAAAGTGAGGACATAGCTTTGCTGCGGAGACTAGATGACTTGGGTCTAAGTGGAATTTGTTCACTCTCGGGAGACAGGGATGGAGGAGATGATGGGCCTGGGTGTTGTGACCAATTATGAAATGCTGACCTTAATTTGCTTTCGTGAGAAGAAAGCATCACATATGGAAGGAAATTAACGACTTATTATTGCGATGCTCTAAACTCACTTTTATAGATTTTTTAAAACTGTAGTTTGAAATAATTTCAAACTTACAGAAAAATTACAATAATTATACCAAGAACCCTTGATTACTCGTCATCCAATCTCACCAGCTGTTATTTTACTACAGTTGCTTTCACACCTGTCTATACACACACTCTCACACTTAACGTCCCCTGAACCACATGTCCGTTTACGCCTTAATACTTCGGTGTGCATTTAATTTTCTCAGAATAAGGATATTCTTTCCTAACCACAGTCAGTATAGATACCAAATCTAGAAATTTAACATTAGTAGAAAATGATTAATTAATATACAAGTCCAATTCCAGTTTCATCGACTGACTCTAAAATGTCCTTTCACCAAAAATTATTTTCCAGTATAGAATCCATTCCAGGATCATGTATGACATTAATTACCATGCCTCCCTAAGTCTCCTTCAATCTGGAACAGTTTGTGACATTAGCATTGTTGAAGAATACAGGTCAGGTACAGTACGTCTCTCAAATGGGGATTGTCTGTGTTTCCTTTATGAGCAAAGTTATGCATTTTTCATTGTCACATGACTGATTCTTTTCAGGGCATGCCCACATGCTCTTTGTTCCATTATTGGTTATGTTAATTCTGGTAACTTGGTTAAGCTGGTGTCCAATTTCTCTACTGTATAGTTACCATTTTCCTTTTGTAATTATTAAGTAACTTGTGGGGAGAGACTTTGAAATTAGATAAAAAACCTGTTCTTCATACAATGATTCTTTCCTGAACTGGTTTTTATTCTGATAGTTGCAAAACCATGATTTTCCAAAACTATCATTCTTTCTATATTTACTACTTTACATTCTACTAAAAGGAAAAGTATTTCCCTTGCCTTTGTGGATGTATGAATTCATATAAATATTTATTTATCTAGTAATATCAGTATGAACTCACAGAACCCCGCCCCCTCGTTTCCATGGATTATATGATAGTACTGTACTTATTTATTTTGATGCTCAAATCTAATGTGTCAGATTTGGCCAGTGGGACCATCTCAAGTGAACTTCATATTGTTGTGGCATGCCCCCTCAGTTATGCTTAACTTCCTTAATTCCTTGCATAAGGTGGTCTAAGTTCATCTTGCGCCTTCCTTATCCTGGACCTGGGACCCACCATTCCTCTAAAGAGGCTGGTTTCTATTAGTGGGTAAAATATTTAGAAAGTAGATCCTCAGTGCTCCTGGAATGCCATTACTTCTGATTCCTTTTGGTTGACAGAGCTAAGATCCATGTACATACACATATCCTTATTAAGTCTTATTATGAGTTTATGCTACATCTCTAATTCCTATCCAACCACACAGGGTTCTTCCTTGCCTTTCCCTGCTCTGTATTTTTGTTTTCCTTCTTCAACAGTAAGATCTACTTACTTCCTCATTTGCTCAAATCTACAATACATACAACGCAATTTCAGAATTGCTGTACACTATGAAAAATAAACCTAGAAGAGTTTAAGATTTCTTTGCAGTTCTTTAAAACGAAGGGTATATTATGTCCAAAAGTTACTGACGTTAATTCTCCCATATGATTATGTTATTTATTTAAAATACAGTTGGATCACTCATTTCTGTTTCTTTTTAGTTTTACGTTTGTCCTTACCAATTTGCTTTTTTGAATATGTAAAAATTAACTGGATTCCTAAAGTCAAAACCATACAAAAAGTATACCCAGAAAAGTGCCACTCCTTCCCCATCCATCCGCCTCCTCTTCTCCCACCTCTTGGAGGGAACCACTTTCAATATTTTCTTTTGACATGAAGTGTTATACATTTTTAAATAAGTGATTACAATGTATTTGTTTTCAAACTATGCCTTCCTCCAACTCATAAGACCCACAGTAGCCAATAAAGGCCCAAAGTGTCTACCACTGCTATAGGTGGCACTTTAACTGCTATTATAATCTTTGTATTTATATGTTCCATTTCTTGCAGGTCTTGTTCACCAAAACTGCTTGAAGTTTGAAGCACTGGTTTAGGATGGGTACAGGTGTTACTGATTACCTGTTCCTCAGAAACCTCTAGAGGAGGGGGTGCTTGCTGTTCAGATCGCTGACCATCCTGATAGTTTATATTTCGTCGCTGACGTAAAGGAGGGAAAAGACGATTCCAATTGATCATTCCTCCCTAAAAAGAGATCAATACGTAATGATCAGACACAGAAGGGGTAGAACTATCAAAATGCTTGAGAGAGCTTTCTCTTGCAATGCAGTCACACCTATAGACTGAGAAATAAAATGTCACATTGATCTGCTGTATGCAAGCAATCCCAATCCTAAAGTATCACACCATCCTTCAATCGATAGGATAAAATCGGTAGCCTGTAGTAGGTGCACAGAGAGAAAAGGCAATAGGTACTGGCAAAGCTATTTGTTCAATTTGGCTCTGGAAGACAGAGAGGAAGATAGAGATATTCCTAAGCTCAGCCCCACCATGTCCCCATTGGCCCTGTCCCATCCCCACTGACTATGAAGCTCAGGGCTTTGCCAGGTGTGACAGGAAAGAAGACTATGGAGAGGAGGCAAATTCACTCTGGCAACCAGAAACGTGGAGCTTCCTTCAGCAGCTCTACAAAATGCTTCTCCCCTTCTTTATCCTCCTGGTCCTCTTACTTCTCTTCCTTTTATTCAAGTAAATTCTAAGCATGCTCAGTGGAGGAAGACTGCAGGTGAAGATAAAACCCAGATTGGGGGACAGGCTAGAGAATTGGGAGGTAAACCTTACACACAGGGACAAGAGGTTCAGAAGTAAGGATCAGAACTATCCTCTTGAGTGGCTCAGATTACTGATGGTAATCTCTTGCTTATTCTATGTTATTAATAATAATAATAATAAAAACCACCATGTGAAGAAAATATGCACTGCATGATGCTTTTAAAGAAATCCATGTTTTAAGCTAAATGCAAATTTCTCAATTTAGAAAAAATTACAGACTAAGACAATCTGAAAATTTTCCTACTATAACCATCTAAAAATGCTAGGTAAATTTAAAAAATATTTCATACGGATAGCTGAACATAAAAGGAAGAAACAGAGGTCCTGAGGTGCCAGAAACGAGCTCTGGAAAACTGCAGCATAAGCAAGCAAGCTGCCGAGGACAGGGGTGTAAGAATGAGCACATATTGCTAACTCAGAACTGCTTGGGTTGTACCACCTATTTGAGTTCAGGAAATGAAACACTGGGTCTGAAAGAGGTAGTGACTTTGAGCATTACCCACGTACGGGCAGAACTCTCAAATGGCAGCACCCTCACTGAAAGAGAGGATGAGAAAATACAGATCAAAAAGCTGATCTTTCTCAGGGAGAAAGCAGGAATCTTGGTCTGCCTGAGAAGTGAGAAATGAGAAATTTGGGGTTCAATTTACACTACATATGTGCTCCAAGGACCCACTAAAAATTATGTAAAAATTGGTTTTTGGATAGAGATGGATATATGTAAGGAGTCAAGCACAAGCGAATGTAAAATTACTCTGAAGAGACACTCTTACTCTGGGATTACATGGGATTTATAGATAAAACTCTGGTAGGAGAAGACTCAGAATCAAAAACCCATTAGGAAGAAACCCATCGTAAGCCAGAGACAGTGTGTACAATAAATAGGATTAGATCCCCAAGAACTTAAATTTAGAACAACCTGAAAACCATAAAATAAGAATTTTTGAAGTGACCAAGATACGTTAAAAAAAAAAAAAAAGAACAATACATTATAAAAAAAAGTTTTGAAAAAACTTAGGGAAATTAAAAATAAACACATTATACAAAATTCTTCCAGAGAAATACTGGCAGAAGTACATTAAAATACATTAGTGATCACGATAAATATATATGGACAAGTTCACCAGCTGAAAGGCTGAGATTCCCATCTCTGAAATCCCTCCCTCCCATCCTCCCCGCAACCCCAACACAGACAAATCTAAAATATAAAGATATAGACAAGTTGAGGTAAAGAGATGGAAAAAGAAGAATCAGAAAAGTACCAACCAAAGTAAGCTGATGTTGCTATATTAATGTCAAATAAATAAACCTCAAGGGCAAAAAAGGCATTATTAGGGATGAAATCAGTAGGACACATTGATATTATTTATACAGAACACAACAGCATCAAAATATAGAAAGCAAAAATTAGTAGAACTATAAAAGAACTGGAAACACCCAGGTATATATTTAATTTTTAGCATATCTTGATAATCAAGCAGACAAAAATTAATAATATTATGGATCATAAATAACAGCTTGTCTAAATGGGTGCATATAATCTGCATACAATATTTAGTGAATATACATTCTTTTCCATTATACATAAAATATTTATAAAAAGTGACTGTGCACTAAGTCCTATGTAAAATATCCACAAATACTAAAACATAAAAATCAGACTATATTCTCTGACCACAATGTGATTAGATTAGAAATCAATATCAATGTTATATCTAATACAAAGTAAAAATTCACACAATTAAAAATAAAAAATGGAAAAAAATCATAATGGAAATTAGAAAAATATCTAAAAGTTAATAAAATTGAGACTATTACCTATTAATGCTTGTGGGATATAATTAAGTAGTTGATATAATTTTAAAATATTGAGCTTAAAGAAAACGAAGGCTGCAAATTAAAGTTAAGTACATTTAATTTAAGAAGTTAGAGAAAGTAAAAATCCAAAGAAATTAGAAATAAGTAGAATGTTGAAAGCAAATGTTAATAAAGTGGAAAACAAATAGAGGAAATCAATAAAACCCAAGTTTCGTTGTTTTAAAAAATTGAATAAATCTGGTAAGCTTAATGAAAAAAGAAAGATGTATAGATAAAATCAGGAATAATACAAGGGTGATAATGCAGATTTTAAAAATTTATAAGAATACATTATTCATACCAATAACTTTGATGCAACAGAATTTTCTAGAAAAATATAACTTATGAAAACTTATTTCAGAAGAAATAGAAGTTGGTAATCATATTTGAAAACCGTTCAGGAGCATCTACTAAAGCTGAACATTTGTGTTTACCCCAGCAATTACACTTCTGGACAACCTTTAATGAGTTGCTATCTTATCCAAATTGTTCTAGAGAACAGAAAAAGAAGGAAAGCTCTCCACCTAAGTTTTTGAGGATAGTATAATGTTTCTTCCAAAACTAGACAAGACCATTATGAGAAGAAAAATTTATAGAACAAGTTTATAGAACAAATATATACAACATTTATGTATAGATGCAAAAATTCTAAATAAAATATTAGTAAACTCAGTCTAATATTTAAAAAAATCATCTGGTATGTTGCATTCTATTAAGATTTATCTCATGAATCTTAGAAAATATAGTAATGTAACTCACACATTAACAGATTAAAGGAGAAAAACCAAATGCTCACTCAAACGATGTGAAAACAATTTGATAAAACTTAGTACTGATTCATGAAGAGACAAGAATGCCTATTACTGCCTCTCGCATTCAACACAAGTATAGCATAATGAGGCCAAAACCAACCAAATACAAAAGAAAATGAAGAAGGAGGGAAAGGGAGAAACAAATTATTCACATGTTTACTGTCTACCTAGAAAATGAGAATAAGAGTACAAGATAAAAAAGTATCAATAACATTCTTCTACTATGATCATTTAGAAAATGTAAGTGCAAAAAATTACTATTTACAAAGAGAAACAAAAACTATTAAATACTTAGGAATTAAATCTAAAAAAAAGATCAGCAAGATCTCTAGGTAGCAAATGGTAAACTCGATTGAAGACTATCAGAAGATCTAAATGAGTGAAAAGAATCAGCACATTCTTGCCTGGGAAGATCTGGTACTATAATCTATCCACGCGCTTCCAATTCCAAGTCTGTAGCAGAGACCACTGGTTGACTTTCAATATCCATATTCCCTTTTTTTAAAAATGTGAATATTTTGGGGTCACACATGGCTACTACATTGCTCAGCTTCCTGCTATGTGGACTCAGTTCTGCCAGTGGTATGTAAGCAGAAAGAGAGTATGGGACTCTAGAAGAGAACTTAAATGCAGGTGTGTAAGCTTCCTTGTCACTTCCTCCTCCTTCCTGGAGCTCAGGCAGCTAGCCTGGGCAGTGAGGGGGAAGCTCTGGGGTGAAGGCAAAGCAGTGGCCAAAGAAAAGGAGCCTGGGGCCCAGCAACTTAATGTCGCTGCCCCACCAGTCCAAGGCTGTCTATGTCTGTACTTCTTTTACATGAGAGACAGACTTCTACCTTGTTTAAGTTTTGTTATTTTGTGTTTTCTGTCATGTGGAGTTAAACCCATTCCTAATTGGTATATACTCAAAATTCAAAAGTGTGTGGTGGATTAGACAAGTTTAAGTTAAGGGTCAAAAGTAGACATGAATCTTTTGAAGAAGTATAATGGAGGTTTTTCTCTATCACTTATTAGGACTTACGGTTAGACTGCAGTAATTAAAGTAGAATGGTATTAGCACATGATAGGCAAATGGTGCAGAGAAACTAGAAAGTCAAAGAATCAAAAGTAAATGTGAGTACTTGGTATATATGATAGAGGAGGCATTACAAGTCAGCAAGAAAAGAACAGACGGTACTGGAATAACTGGCTACAGATATGGAAAAAGATAAAATTAGATCTTTACTGCATGCCATATACAAAAATAAATTTATTTAAAAATAAACTCCATAGATTAAAGATTGAAATGTGGAAAGCTAACTTGTTAAAAATTTTAGAAGAAATAAGAGAATATTCTTTATGTCCTTGGGATAGAAAAGGATTTCTAAAATGAAAATAGAAAAAAATCATAAAGAAGCAGATGGCTAAAAATCATTACAAGTAAAAACTTTTGTAAGACTAAAAAAAGGAACTAAGTTGTAAGACAAAGTATAGATTAAGAGAAAATGTTTGCAACATGTATCTGACTAAAAATATCTAGAATATATAAAGAAAATTTATAAATCAATGAGAAAAAATAAATGATTGAAGAGAAAGAGGATAATGTATATGAATAAACGATTTACAGAAGAGGAAACCCTGAGTCAATAAACAGAAGATGTTCAACCTCGTTTGTAGCAGAAAGTGTAAATTAAAACAGCAATAAGTAATTTCATACCTACAAGACTGGCAAAAATAAAAAGTCTAACAATACCAAGTATGGGGATG